GGAGATGGGTGAGCTGAAATGCCACCTCCCATGCTGCCAAGGCTGCTGCTTCTGTGCCCCATGGAGCTTGCCCAACGCATGCTTTGGGGCTCCTGGCTCTGTTATCTCTGCTATTGCCTGGGCTGGATGGATGCGTCCATGCAGCCCTGCAACATGAGTGACTGATCTTCAAGAATGGGCCCACAGGAGTAAGTTTTTATGGGACCACACCAATTTGTCAGCTTAGCCATCACTCAGAGCACCCTGCCTGCGAGATAGCTGTGTCCTGTGTAACGGCATACAGGACATATGAAAAAGCAAAGTGGGCTTTGTTTCTGGGTGCCCTCCGATACAGAGGTGGAGCTGGCGGGAGCTGGAAATACAGGTGTTTTCTGATTTCCTTCATCATGGAGGAATCTTCGTGGTTGGTGTAGTTATTGTGCAGTAGCTGTCTGCCACCAGGGTCACTGTATGGACAAGCATGAAGCCGGGGAAGCTCAGTTTGCTGTGTGTAAAGCTTAGTGAATTGTTTCTTTGAACAAAATGAAGCCTTGGGCTTGCCTTTTTAGAAAAATAACCCAGAATAGCTATTTCTTACTGCCTAGAAAACACAAGTTTACCAAGACCAAAAGTGTAGGCAAAGATGAGCTGCCACCTGCTGGCTCCCGAAGCTTTGGGCTAGGGAATGTCTGCTGGTTCCCTGGCGGGAGAACCTGGTTTGTGTACCCCACTCCAGGCTGGGGATTTGGAAGGCTCAGGTGGGGTTTTCAGAGCTTTCTGCTAAGAGAAACAGCATTGGGCTGTTCGGCAGAGTTGTGAGGCATTACAAAAACATCCTAAGGAACCTGCTGGGTTTATGGTAATATTTATGTTTACTATTTTTTTTCCAAGGTTTGGTTAAATAAAGGTAGCTCTTTCAAGTGCAGCACATTCTTTGTAAACAGTTCCGCATAATCTTGTGCACTGGAAAATAAAATAGTTGCCGTTGTGGGGGTTCCCTGGGGAAATGCTCAGATTAGGCTCCTTCAAGCAGCTGGGACAGTTTGGGGCCCTGACTGGTGCAGGAACAGCAGCGGCCCTGCGACCCCCCTGCTCCAGACCTCCCTGCTCTGGGTCGGGTTCACCCAGAGGCTGGGTGGAAGGAGGCTCTGAAGGAACAAATTAGATTAAAGTGAACTCAGTGAACATGCTGGCCAAAACCGGCTCGGTTTGTTTTTCATGATGTCACTTCTATTTTAAAATCCAAGTTACGGAAACCATTTACAGTGGACTTGAACAAGACTGTCGTTTCCTGTGGGCCAGATATTTCTAAAGAGTTCCTTCTCTTAGGGTCCCGAGAAATTGTGTTCTTAAGTATAACAGAAATTTCAGGGGGGTGAGCTTTTGAAAGAAAATTGGAAGCTAGCCATTTTTCAGAATAGTTTGGGTTTTAAAAACATGCTTTCAGAGAGGCGAAACCAAAAATATTTTAACTTAGAGGTATATGAAGGTTGCTTGACGGTCTTTCAGGGGATGATTCAGGTAATTTTATATAGTGGCCTAAACCAAATTCAACTTTCTCCTAATTTCTTTAGTTATTCATTGATTTCTTAGGTGAAAGAATAATGGCAAGATTTTTGTCTCTGTGGTGTCCACCGGAGTATCTTAATTTCTAATTTCTCAACTTCTGCTTCACAAGCAGAGAATTGAAATTTGATTGTTTGGAAGTGATGGCTTTGTTTCCATTTCCCTAAGTGTTTCTCATGTGACTATGAAGTTGCTAGAGTGGAGAACTTAACTTTCCCTTATAGTTACGTATCTAAAAAAGAATATTAGCCCTTTTGGCTTTTCATGTGTGTAGTGTTTTCCTGGCAAAGCTAAGAAGGATACTGAGAAGAAAACTAGCTCCACTCATGAAGAAGTGCAAAGTATTTGCAAAGCCAAAATCGATGGTTACAGTTTTGCCTATGATTTTGCGCCAAGATATGCCACAAATATTCACAGTCTAAATAATTTCACCTTCTAAAAACTTGTAATTTATTTTGCATGTATCTTTGTCTATGCCACACTGCTACAGTGAGTGCTGGAAAGCAAAGAGAACCAAATATGTTTAATGGGAGGTGAAAGGGCTTGTTTGATTAGATTAGGGCTTCAGCTAACCTTCATGCCCTTTTTAGGCAATGAGAATTCCTGGCACCATGTTTTAAAACACGATTTTTAGCCGTTGTATATGAGTATCATACCTGCTGTCCTTTCTATTGTAGGGAGTGTTTTTGCAAGTTGTTACCAAGCAATCTCTGTGTAGTACAGGCATGCTAATCAGTGCTACCATTGTAACTTCTTAAAGATATTTCAGATTAGTTATGCTTTTGTATTTTAAAAAACACTTTTGATTGACAGGTATTAGAAAATAATGTACAAAACTCTTTAAATTTAAGTTTGCCAGGCCGTGTGTGATTCCCTTCTTCTTGCTAAAGTCAAGACTTCATTACAGAAATAGTGTGCTTTTTGTCTCCTGCTTTATTTTTCACTTTTTATCCATGTTTGAACATTGTAGATCAGGATTTGAAATGGTTACTCTGATTATACTATAGAAACAAGTGAGGCTAAGGGTTATGACTCGAACATTAACTAATGTATTATAAAGGATAAGTAGTCTTCCAATGTAAAGCATACCAGTGCGGTAAATAAAAGGTAATTAATTCTGGGCGATGGGATTTTACAGCAACTCATGGAGAGGAAATATAGCCTACGTAAAGGTAATGTCTGGTTATGCAGTACTCCTCTCTGACAGAGTAAGGGCAGCATTATTCTACATTATGCTAACTATTCTGCTCCTTATAATTACCTGTTAAAACTACAGCTTTTAATATTTTAATGCTAATGGCCATGGAGAAATGTGGTAAAGAGCAGCGTGTTGTTGCAGGATTCAGACAGTGCAGCCTGGTCACAAACAATGCTGTGTAATCAGCTGCAGGAAATGTTTTCCTGTTATGATAGTGTGTAATGGCTTAAACTGTAAGGAAGGGCAAACCATTAAGGCTGTAGGAATGAGAAGTTTGCATGCAGATTGTGTGGCATCTGCTGTAGCGATCAGCTAATTGTCCTGCAGCTGTTAGGCACCTGGAGAAACGAATACTGGAGGATGTAGGACATGAGACCATAGAGACGCTCCTTTAGTTACGTTGGAACACGACTTTGAAAAACATACGTGTGCTGCCCTCTGCATCTTCTGCAGCCGTAACTAGGCACTTCTGTGATTCCATTCGACATTCTCAGCTCTGCTGCCTCTTGCAGAAGTTCCAGGCTCTTCCAACATGGCTGATTTTAGTTCAGAGGAAGCCGGACACTGTTCTTGTGGATAATTTATCATGGAATTGGGAATTCTTCCTGGTTTTGTTACATTCAAGAGAACTTTACCAAAGTTGATAGTTCAGCTTCGGAATTGTGTCCTATCAATACCAACTGCAGTTTACAAGTAAGCTCTAGTGTTTATATAACAGTAATTTTTTTCAAAAGCAGACATCCTGAAAATAGCTATAAATATATTCCTTTTTCAGGTGTACATGTTGGTAGGTACTGAAAATTTACCATTCTTCCAAAGGGAATTGTTAAAATCAGGTTTACTTTATGGGTGAACTTGACTAAATGGCATGCATGAGCCTTTATGTGCTCATAGCTGTTCAGTGTCTCTGAATTAAAATATCACCCTGTATAACTGTGACAGCCAGGAAGACCTTTCTTGATGTGAACAAGTAGGGTGAAGTAAGCAGGATTCTGTAAGGAGGATTCCATGATATAGTATGTATATACAGCCCTCTTTTCCTTTTATTTAAGAGACAATAACTTGAAATGGATCTGGTTTCGAAGTACCATGTAAGTGCAGGTTTGAAGGAATGCAGTCTATGTGGTGTGAGCATCTGAAATGGAATGCGGATTATTTCAGAACAAATAACATTTGCTGTGTGTCTGATCAGTGCTGAATATTGCTATAGAGCCAAGAAAGGTGGTAGGGAGGCACCCCAAATACATTATGGACACTCTTGCTCCCAAAGTCATTCATGTTACCTTTCTGTGTGTGTGCTCAGCTTGAAGAAAGAATTTGGCTGAACAAAAGGAGAATTCCAGAACAGCTTATGGAAAAATGAAACCAAGTTGTCTCCTTCAACACTGTGATTAACTTGTTTTTCCAAGTTTCCAAATGTTAAGAAGTTGTGACTATTAGTGAACAAGTTCCCTGTTCTCTCCTTGTCCATGAGAAGTGCTACAAAGACTGTACATCTTCTGAAGGATCCCAGCTTTCTTAAAGTATAATATTTAGTCAGCAGTTATGCAATCTGTTCTGTATTTTTAATTATTTTTGGGAGGGGGGCTAGTAGGATTGACTGGAGTGCTGCTACTTAGGAGCTGTATTCCCTAAGCCTTTCATCAAGGTATTTTAATTTTCCTCAGACAGAACAGAATGTTGCTTCAATGGTAGTACTGTAATTAACTCTGAGGCAAACTTCCTTTGTTCTCTCTGTAGGTAATACACAGGGATATGAGTCAGTAATAACCATTGAGCTTGTTTGCAGTGAAGTTCTTTACTGCGCTCGAGAGCAGCAGCAAGAAGCGTAAAGCATCTTAACTCTTGACTGCAGTATCTGAAAACCGGGAGTGTAAAGCTCGACTCATAAATCCTAGGTATGGTTGGTGTCTCCTTCCTTTTACCCTGCAACCTGCCCTGCTTTGTGGGAATTATGGCCTTGGAGTTCTCATCAAGGAAACTGTCATTCATCTGAAGATATGTATTTATAGATAGATAGACATGTGTGTGTGTGTATGTATATATATATATATAGCTTAGTTAGTGCTGGAAAATGGCGTGGCAGGATGAGATTCTTGTTGTTGAAGAAGCAAAGTGTAGACAGGCTCCAAGTGCTCTTTGTCTGATGAATGTGAATACTGGATGAAAAACTTTCCTTTCAGAAATGTGAAGGCTCCAGTTGGGATATTTACCTTAACTATGGTTATTTCTTTTTTAAACTTTTTTCATAGGACTCGTTAAGAATAAGACTTGAGTTTTGAAGTGTTTGAGTGACTTGCTACTGACCAAGTCATGACGCTCCCATTTCGAAAGGACTTGGACAAGTACAAAGACCTCGATGAGGATGAAATACTTGGCAAACTTTCGGAAGAAGAACTGAAACAACTGGAAACTGTTTTAGATGATCTTGACCCTGAGGTAGGTGTTAGCCAAGAGAAGATTTATTTTTTCATTTGATCAGAAACTAGTCTGAAATAAATTAATACTTTTTTTTTTTTACTTGTACAATATACTTGTGGACAGAGCTTTTTCCTAGTCTGTCAATGATCTTATGTACAGATATATGTGTGTATATAAAATGTTTCAACTGTTTGCAATGTGAATGCAACTGCAGTAGAGGAAGATGGAAGAAGGGATTCTCAGGGGGCGCTTTCTGAGATACATTTATAAATAAAAATTGCTCTTAGTAATGCTCTTGAAAAGAAAGTTTATAGAAAGGCATGTTTAGCTTTTGCATGCATTTTTATTTTGTTGCTTCTACAGATGGGGAGGGAAGATGGTAACTTCTAAAGATTCCTAGTCCTCTATCTGGTGGCCTGTATTTATTCCTGTCCTTGTGCTGACATTGCAAAGAGGAGGCAAATAATGGCTCAGCTCCTGAAATCATTATATCAGCATAGGGTATTGAATAAGGAATGTTTTAGCTTTCTGTTGTAAAGAGCTATGTCCTCTACTGATGCTTCAGCTAATGTGTTTTCACCTCCTGATTCTCTGTTCTTGCTTTAAGAGTACCAGGATTAAATTAAATCTTAATGTTCATGGATCACAAGAATATTCTGATCACCTATTTTGTTGCACTGCAAGATATTCTTGATATTTTTATTGGCTTTGACTTTACAGAGATTTTTAAAAAAGAGAACTGGCAGAAGTGATTGTCTGTCTTCTATGACAGTTGAATTTCTATATATTCTAGTCTTTCCACACTAGTAGCCTCTTTTTTCTTCTTTGGCATGTTGATGATAGCAAAAAAAACACTCCACCTTGTATCGGCTCAAAAGCAGAAATACTCTGTGTTAAATACTGGATGATAATGTAGGCAGTTGTCTTAAAGATCTGGAAAAACATAGATGTAAGTGATGGAGGAAGCAGTCTCTTGCTGAATGTCTAAACTGTAAATAGCTGCGTTTTATTTACTATTACTCATTTATCTAAAAAAATGCAAAGGAACTAGCAAGTCTAGTGCTGGGAGCTGTTGTACTTAAAGAATTGCTTCAGTCCTATTCATAGTGCAGTGTACTCTATTTTTAATTATATTCTTGGTATCTAAAGAATAATTACCTAATGTCATCCTCTGCCACCAAAAAGGAAGTTGGCAAGGGATCAAAGATGCCTTAAAAGGGTGATGTATCAGATTTGAACCTTGGGGAGAGTGACGAGGGAAATGAAAGTAAACAGGTGCTCAGTGAGTCTTTCTGAGCTGTACTTACTTGCTCCATTTTGTTTTGCAGAACGCGCTTCTGCCTGCAGGCTTCCGGCAGAAAGACCAGACTGCTAAAAAGGCTTCAGGTCCCTTCGACAGGGAACGTCTCCTTGCCTATTTAGAGAAGCAGGCTCTTGAGCACAAAGACAGGGAAGACTATGTGCCTTTTACAAGAGAAAAGAAAGGTAACGCCACCCTTTCCGGCGCGATTATGAAATCCCTGAAGTGGACTAGCCAGAACTGCTGTGAACCAAAGTTTACTGAAGTACTCGCAGCTCTGGTGCTTTTTAATTTGCGACGTTCCCGAACGAGTGCTACTGTGCAGAGGCGGGATACTTCCTGTTGAGGCATTCTGTGATGCTGGGGCTGTTTGCATGTAGCACAGGAAGGAAATAAGACTCAAAAGATTTTATCAAAGATTGCAAAGCTCTGATGAGGATGGTATCCTCAGTGCAAGAGCTACGTCTGATTTGTGTCAATAATAATAAATGCCTGCGGATTATGCCCTTTGGTGCTGAGTACAGACAGTAAAATTTGTAATACTGCATTAAATTTTAAAAAAAGAGCAATAGAATGATATGGTAGATACTCAATAATTATGTTCAAAGACATTTTAGGCTGAGGAGGGCAGACAAGTGGTGTGTGCAGTCTGTTGTCTTTCTAGTATCCTGGGAGTTTTAATGACATTGCATAGTTATTTTTAACTAATTACATAGTTAACTTTGCAAGAAACTTTGAAATCTGGCAGTGGCTTGTGCTTTAAAAAACACAGAAACATTGACCCAATGAGTGGACGGACACATTAAAACCTGTTTTGGTTCTAGCCTTCTGATTGACTTGATGGGAAGCATTTTCCTTTTCAGGAGAAAATTAAAAAAGGATGTGCAACTTAAATATTCTTAAGAATAGATTTTTTGATTTATTTTTTTTTAGTTTCCCTCCCCCCGCCAAAACCAGAGTTCCCAGATATGTTATGCCTTACTAAGCACTGTAGGTAGGGACAGAAACTCCCAATCCTGTGCTGGGCACATACGCGCAGGAGGAGGCTTTCAGCTGTCACTGCAGTGTTTGTGTATTACTTGGTAATCCTGGTGTCTGCACCTTCCCCAGCGGCTGGGCAGATCTGCTGCAGTAAGACTTCAGTAGATCGTTTGGTGAGTTGTATTCCAGCTGCCCAAGGTGAGCAGGCTCCTCTCTTCTTAAGGCTGTGAAACCCTTTAGTTCTACTTAATTCACTGGCTTATTTCAGACTTGAGTCTTCATTCGTCTACTGAGTTTGTGTATATGATTGTGACTGTGGTATATATTGGTGAAAACTTTGTTGCAGGCATTTGCATTTTCTCTGCCTGTACCAGACAGTTTTTACTTAACAATCTTGGTCTCACCTTTTATTTTCCTTGAGGAGTAGTGGAATTGTGACTTTATAAAATGTGCTGCCCTGTATATGATGTAGCACTTCCTTAATACACTGTGCTTTGCCTTTTTTGTGTAGTTTAATGCCGCTTTTATTGAGAGATAACTGTGACACTCCTTTGCTGACAGGAAAACAGAGGTTTGCTGACTCAATCTATAGGAGTAGCTGGGTTAAGGCTAATGCAACATCTTGAAAGCAGCAGGCAGCCCAAGGTACCTACTGCAGTGGTGCCCCTTGGGTACCTCCGCAGCTCACAAGTCCCGCTTGATCTCCTGTGTGGCTGTGAGGTGTGCTGCTGCTTCCTCCCCTGTTCTGCTTCTCGCCTCACGTTTGCTGCTGTTCGTTGGGGACAGCCTAATGGCTTAACGAGGTGGAGTTCAAGCATGTTCAGGCCTCGCAACTGGCTTGGGGAAGCCCTTGCAGCCCGGCCAGCGTGTGCGCTGCTCCTTCAGGACGTGAGGCTGGCCATGTAGGGTGTGATCTAGTTAGTACTTCTTTTTCTACTGAGTCCTAGTGCTTCATTCACATAGGAGGTTCTTTAAGCTTGTATATATGTACACATGGCAAAACTATTTGTTTTGGTAGATAAAATCTCTAAGAATCACGTAGAAAACCAAAGGGTCCAGCTGTAATGCAGATCTTGGTTAAGAAAGATCAAATGTCATTTCCTTTATAAAATAAAGTATTGCTAAAGAGCAGTTTGTCTGGATGTTGCAATAATGTCATACAGGAAATTTTACTAACAAAGCTGGTATCTCTTAAAAAAAAAAAGTTGCTATTTAATATTTTTTTCCTACCATTTTTTTTAGTACCATAGAGGAAGAGAAAATGCTATGAGAAATTAAATGTAGCTTACTTGCATTAAAACTAAAAATATGGGAACAACTCTTCAGTATGGCAATTCCTTAAAAACATATTTTGTTTTTAAATACGATTTGATGACTTAAGTCACATTCTGTTCCAATTAAGTGTTGAACTGTACAGCAAGCCGTTGTTAAGAGATTCATGAGAGCAATGTGGTAATAATTTCAACAAAACTGTCTTTGTCTCAGTCTATACGTCAGCGTGTCGTAAAGATTTTACAAGGCGTACTGCAAGGAGAAGGGTCTCATCTAAACAGTGAAGTGAGGTTTCACACTGGAGCCTGTTGCCCTCGTGTGTGTTCCACACATCTGACCAAGGCTGATCAGTGCTCCTCACTTCTCCTGAAACAGCATAAGATGAGAATTGTTGAATCTGAAATTAAACCATATCTAACACCAGTGATGTACTTTGTGCTGTATAGTGCAAGGCACTGGCAAGCTATGCAAGCTTTGCATTTCTAGCCTTTGCACTCTTCCTAATTGTGGCTTTCTCTTCCAACTTGCCCTCTGTGTTCCTCCCGGGGTGTATTTGTTCTGCGTAGATTTGCATTTCAGGTAACTACAGCTTTAGTGTTTCCAGTTTGGTTTTTTCCCTGCTCTTATCACCCAGAAAATATTGTTAAGCTGAAACTGTAGTCGCCTGGCTAGAGCTCTTCTGTTGCTGCCTTGCTTAGTTACTGCTCTAGATCAACATTTGCTTCTCTTGCAGCAGGATTTGAGATGCTGTGTCCTCTGTTTGCCTTTCAATTCCTGGTCTTTAAAGGAAGTGTTATATGTTGTAAAATGAAGGTAATATCATGTAAGAGCTTTGGAGAAACAGCTCGTTGAATTGATGCTCTTCATACAAGACCACTAGAATATAACAACATGTGATACTCCAGCTTTAATTTAAAACAGTTTTCTAACTCACTGCTATATGCTCTGTAATCAGATAACAAATAATAGCGCTGTTTTTACAATAGGACATTGAGGAAGTCACTTGTAAGTAGAATTTAATACGTTTTTTTAATTCAGCTTACAAGTGAATTGATGAACCTGAGCCTGTCATGTGGCAAGAATTGGTAATTGTGAATTATATCAATTTTTTGATTGAGGAAACTTTAAGGAACATAAGATGTAAGGAATATATCAAATGTTGTTCACTCTTCTTCATGAAGTCATTAATGAGACAAGCTCGTATTCAGTTGTCCATGGGTGACACTTGATTCCTTTTCTGCAGACCACTGCAAAATGGATTTTAGACTTTCATCTGATGTCCAGGTCGTGGCTGCTCCCTGGCTACTGGCACAGGGGTAGGACTATGGGGTATGTAAGAATAGTGCCAGCAATATGCAGTGCATGGCCACACTGAACAGACCTGAAGATTTTCAGTCCCACCTTAGAAACTGTGAGTCTGTGTATGAAACGTTGAGGGCACTTCAGCAGGCATCATCCAATATTTCTACCTTTTAAGCAGTACAGTTGTGTGGAACTTGGAACTGAAAGTTCATTCTGTAGCAGAGAAAGCCTGTGAATTAATCCTGGGATGTGCATCATTTAACATGTTAGCTAAAGGCATAGAAGACCCAAATATATAATTATTACAGAAATTACATGATCTCTGAAATTTGCCTCTTCACGTTGTGTTGCTTAATATTTGCAGTATCCTTGCTGGCTGAAAAGGAGGATGTCACGTTCCTTCATGTCATCAAATCCCTGCTGTTTGGAAATGATCCACCTGAGGCCTGAGAAAGCTATTCATCTCATGGGCTGCACACGTGTAGTTTTGGGGTGATTTTTGTTGGGTTTAGGTTGGTTTTTTTTTAGTAAGGAGGGGGAGGGAATTGCCAAACTTGCTTGGCAGCAGCCCTTGAGTTAGAGCATTGGCCACAGAGACACAGGGGACTTACATTTTTTTGAAGTAAATTTGTTACTAGAAGTGGGGAGTGGGGAAGGACCTGCTTTCATATGTGCATTGTAAACCTCTGAACTCTGGGCAAGGATGAGATGAAGCCAGTGAATGAGAAATTATATACAGAAGGGTGTGACCTGTTTTATAACAAAGCTGCTTCTGACCCAGTTCATGTGACTGGAGTTGGCTGTCGTGAGGACTTGTTGAGGGGAGGAGTGGCTTTTAACATTTTTGCTTTAATAAAAATGGAGTATACTTCTCTCTCTTTAGGTTATCTTAAGAGTCAAGCACACGTGGATAAATTTAGTCTTACTTTTAGGAGGCAAATGCTTAGAACCAGAAGTTCCCAACCTAAGAATTTTTCTTAAATTTACTCCAAGTAACATCAGGAACAGTAGTTCTTTGTTTGTGACTGCTGTGTGATAGACCAGATTATAAGGATGATCTAGGTTGAAATACATTTCTAGGTGGTTGCTTTTAATTGAGGTCTGTTTCCTTCTGCTCACTGCCTGCTGCACGGATGCTGTGAGTAGGATGATGTGAACGGAAGCTCAGGTGCTCAAATCACACTTCTCTTCTTCCTTGTACTCTGAAGTCCTTACTTTTCTTACTAGTGCGTATTACTGAGGGAAGGCAACACAAACATAGTTAATGAAAGGCTTTAGATTGTGTGTATGCTGTTCAGAGTGTTTCCTGGGTTAATGAAAACCTTGCTAGATATTCTCATATCTCTTCTGAAAATAACAATTTAAGTTGAAAGGTAATCTCTCCCCAGTAGATGGTGCTGGTAAAATAAAACAGAAGTAGAAATGTATTGTATCAATTATGTCAAAATAACGTTAAACATTTACTACCTAAGCCTTCAGTTTATGAAGGTTGTCTTCGAATCACCACAAACATAGTTTATTTTGCACCGTCCATCAAACCTGAGGCATGGGTGATAATGCATGTCAGCTGCTTTCAGCTGCTGTAGTCAGTACAGTTATGTAAGGAGATGTGTTTTCTGCTTCTAAATATGGATAATGAACATTTATACAACTTTCCAAAGAGATAGCAACCCAGGAACAAAAATACTGTGTTGCTAGCAACAGATCTTGGTCATCAGACTGTGTTGTCAGAGAAGAACCTGATACAATTCTTAGAAATCCGTGCTAGTGGTAATGCATTAAGTTCCTTTAAAAAGAAAGTGAACCACAAACTACTGTAATCTAGGATGGGAAATCAGAGAGAAAGAGAGACCAGGTGGATGGGTTTTGTTACGCCTGTGTCTGTTGTGGGACACAGGAACTGACTTCAGGCATTGCTTCCCAGAAGTGGTGAAACCAAAATCCTGCTGCTTTGGAATTTCCCAGAAATAAAACTGAAACATCCCTATAAAGCTTCTTGTCACTGGTAGGTATTTAAAAATGCTAAATTTAGTCTTAGTCCAAACATGTAACAAGATACACTTGTATGCAGTACAACGACAAAGAAAAATAATCTTGAACTTCTGGCTTTTGCCCAGCTGGTCTGATTCTGTTGCGTGGTGGATTTTCATCATGTAGCTGAGATGAGCTAGGGTGATTTATGTGTGAAAATGTTTTTTAGCTATGAGTATGGAAGAGTGTGGGTTCCCAAATTAGCTCTGAGAATTCATAGGGAAATTATCAATACCGATTCCTACCTTGGGAAAAAACTAAAGGAAGCTGGAACCCCTTTCCAACAGCTCTGTCTGCTGATAGCTCAGGCAACGTGGGAAGTTTGAAAAAAAAAAAAAAGGGTTAGAGTTGCAGTTTTCTGGTTGTGAATTACTGCTATCCAATGCATCAGTTCACTCTTGCAGTACTGGAGCTTTTATTACCATGCTGATTTGTTATGAACAAGCGCCCCTTACCTCTCCTGGGTTCTTACCCAGGTACACTGCTTTGCTCTGAAAGGCCAATTCTCAGTCGCTCAGATCTGAGCTGTTCTCAGAGTAACTGTCTCGTATTCTGATTTCTTACTCTAACTTTTTAGCTGAAGATAAACAGTTGTCATTCTCTAGTGGTACTCTATTTTCCATACAGGTACTTTCTAGGTTGTTTAAAATGTGTAATGGAGGCTTATATTTTAGTATTTAATCCTTGGGAGAAACAAGTGAAATTGGAGTCATGGTACAGGCTCCTGAGAAACTTGGAAGCAGCAATTTTATATTCCTGCTTATGGTCTTTCCTCATCTCTGACTTTCAAGAACAAACAGAATAAACCTCATTCCTTTGTGTTGTCCCTGATGTTTGGCTCAAGATTTACTACATGTAATGTGTATTCCTTAAGGACAGAAGGTTCTAAAGTACCTATGTCATGCAGAGTAACATCAGACTTCTCATTTCTCTTTACTTCAGGGAAAGTATTTATCCCCAAACAAAAGCCTGTACAGTCCTACACAGAAGAAAAATTCTCTCTTGATCCAGAGCTGGAGGAAGCATTGACCAGTGCCACAGACACAGAATTAGATGACCTTGCAGGTTAGTTTTCTTAAAGTGTGAATGGGCTGGTATGTTTTTAGACAAGAAAGATTTATAATCGATGTGGTAGTGTATTTGCTACCTGAAATGTGACTGTAGGAAGCTGCAGTTGTGATAGAAACCAGATCATGTTATATGCTAGTCTGCTCGTAGCGTATTAACTTTGTTGATTGGTAGCAATTTATAGGAAGGTAGACTATTTTGGCCTGCATATCTGATTTTCAAACTGAAAATCTTTAAGTCCATTCCTCAGACTGGCTGGCTTTTGTTGTGTACTAGTGCTTCTTCTTGAGCATAATAATGTGTTGCTATGTGCCTGTATCCCTAAAGCTTCAGTCAAGGATTTTGTGACTGAATTGCATTTTTAACTTTAATGCTTGAGCCTGGTGAGGTCAAGTCTAAGATGTGAAAGCTGACTAAAAAGTCTAGAATTAATGATTTATTTTTTTCTACTTTTAAATCAGTAAGAGATTGATCGGCTTATTGTACTGATAGCTGGGTGTTTTACAAACATCAATTTTTATTATTTAAAGGAACTCTATTTGAGCTAAATTAGTGAGGAACAGTAAAACTGAGTTTTTTGCTTTTTCTTTTTTTTTTTTTACAGCTATACTGGGAATGTCCAACTTGATAACAAACAATCAATTCTGTGATGTAGTAGGAAGCAGAAATGGGATTGACAAAGACAGCTTCTCAAGTAAGTGTATACACAAGAGCTGCACACGTGTCTTTGTGCTGCACACAGTTAGTGTAGCATTAACTGTTTTCTGTTGCACTAGCATTCTTTAGACTGTGTTCATGTCTAACATGGCTAACTGAGTTCTGGGAAGAGTGGAATGAAAATATATGTACACTAAAATCTGTTCTGCAGTTAAGTTACATCTAGGGGATAAAAGTAAGCATAAACATACATTTGTGTGTGTTGGTTTTTAGGTTTCATGTTTGTGTTTATAATTCAACTCTTACATGCTTTCTAACAAAATGTGATGGTCAAGAAAAGCAGTAAGGCTGTGAGGACCTTTGAAAAAGAGTTTTAACGTTATGAAAATATGGTCAGGAGAGGATGGCATACTTTTTTGGTAGGGGAGAGGTAAAGACTGAGGAAATTACCTTTAAATACAGTAAGTATTTAGTATGTGCATCATTTGTTCACAGTGAATGGATGTGTCATTTGATTACAATTAAATGTCTTCCTTTTCAGATATAGTAAAAGGTGAAAAAATGTTGCCTGTTTTTGATGAACCACCAAATCCCACAAATGTGGAGGAGACATTGCAGAGAATTAAAGATGATGATTCTCGACTTGTTGAAGTTAATCTAAATAACATTAAGGTAATTACCTGAAGTGCATAATAAATGTGCTGCTTTTTCTCAGAAGAGGCTTTAAGCTACAAAACTCTGTAAAAGAGCATGATAGGCTTACTTCAAGTACAGTAGCCTTTCTGCTAAATGTTGCAGTGTGTGTAATCTTAGAAACCTGGAGCTAAACCAATAAGCCATCTTGGTTTCTTTTGCCAAATGTGTATTTAAAAAGTTTTAGATTTTCTTACTGCCAGCCGAGATTTCTGTTGCTGCCAAGTTGGCAACAGTTCCAGCAGCTCACCACTGTGGAGTTAACTACTTCTTTGAATCCTTTGTCCTTGATGAAGCAATGTGCTCTTGGTTCCTGCTATTGCAAACAGAGTGATATTTGTGCCTGACATCCGTCTGATTCTTGTACAAAAGAGCTGTTGGCGATTAGGGCAGCTTCTGCTCCGAAGCATAACAGTTGTATTTGTAAACATGACTAAAACTTTGGTATATTTGAGTGAAAGAAGTCAGAACTATAGTGCTCCTGACTTACAGCGCAGACAGCTGTGGCAGGCTGCTAGCTCCAGCCTCCCTCGCAGCCGAGGCTATTTGTTGCCCTTATGGACGGAAGATAATAAAATACCTGGTTCATGAATATTGTCCAGTGGAGAAATGCTAGCCAAACTAAATGCCTAAAAAGGCAACAGAACAAACTTTCTGGTATTCTAAACTGAGAAATTTGTTACCCTAATTAATTATCTAAAATTATTCCTTTTAAACTTGGTTGCCACTATACTGTAAAAATCAAATTATAAACTGGTGAATTCTGGAAGTATTCCTAATAGAACACGAAGGGTGAAATGCTAATGGTTTCACCAGTCTGAAGTTCTAAATCTTTTTATATTTGAGAGGTTCATTTGGCATTGATTGTTAGCAGGATGTTCAGTTCATGTAAATTTTGCTCAGTAACAGTCCCAAGTCAGCTAAATATTAACACTGTGGCAACAGCATCAATGCAGTAAAGAAGACTTTGCTCTATAGAATTGGTGACTCTAACAGCCATTGTATCTTATATGTAGCCTTTACTGTGGGACTGCTGGAAACCAGTGATAGCTAATGTTATTATTGGATGTTTTGCTGTAAAGAGAATAAGGTAATGGAAGAAGTTGGGGGAAGGGGATAAACTTGTGTATCTCAAGAGAGTGACATGCTATTTTTAATTCAAGAACATACCAATTCCAACGCTGAAAGAATTTGCAAAAGCCTTAGAAACCAACACGCATGTGAAGAATTTTAGCCTTGCAGCCACCCGAAGCAATGACCCTGTTGCTGTTGTAAGTACTCCTGCTAACATGCTAAAGTGAGGTGCAGGGGAAGATAAGATGGAAAAACAAGGGCAGGGATTGAATTGAATCTTGTTGAGATATTTAAGGATGAAAATGATTAAATTCTGTTGCACTGTGAAGTATGTTTTCTTTAATCATCCTTTGTGGTACCAATGTTGGTAAATGATTACCAATGGACTAATGTGCCACAATGCATCGAATATATGAGACATGAGAACTCTTTTTTTCCAGTTCCTTCCTCCTGATTTTTCATTCTGCTAGTCTCCCTTCTGTTTTTATTTCTTTGTTAATTTTTTTAGTTCCTGGTGTTCATTCCATGAGCCAATAGCATATTCAAAATTAACTTCAAAAGAAGCACATTTGAGAACTGAAAAAGCTCATAATCTTTTCCAAATAGCTAGGTTTAATGGAAGAAAGTTGTAAAATGCCTGTTTCTCTAATTTCCTTGCTACCAAAAGTTGGCTTAAGGACTTGGCGTATAAAGCACAATAGGAATCAAGGTATCTAGTTTGACAGAAATGAAACATACATATTTTATCATCTGGCTGTTTTTTCTATGTTGAATCAAAAGCAGTAGCTTATTTAATGGCAAATAAAGAGGGCAGAAAATAGCTCTAACTGTTTGGCCAGGACAATCCTTTGCCTGTGTTTTAATTTCAGATTAGAAATAAGACTAGTTTGAAGGTCTCCCTTAAAGGGACAAATGAACATTTGAAAGCTTTTTTTGGGGGGTCCATTAAAAAATTCCTTTCAGTTGAACCAAAACATATGTAATAAAAGTTTGTAAAGGCTTGTTTTCTTGGGCATGGTTTTGTTGTGTTTGTTTTTTTTGCATTGTGACTCAAAAAGTTACAATTTTTATGACAGTAAACCTCAGCAGTTACCTATTATTGTTTTCTTATTTTCCCCAAAATAAGGTCAGGTACATACCATTTCCACAAGAGTGCTTTTAGCTACGTGCTGGTACTGTGCTTAGGGCTTTGAATTTTACTCTTCCTACCAAATCTGCATATGCAAGCATTTTGAAAATGAGATCTCTTGTTTACAAATTAACCATATATAATTCTCCTTTTAGTTGACTAACGCCCTTTCTTTGGCCTTCACTTAGCACCTTGCATTACTCATTGCATGCTGTGAGGGGTTACAAAGTGGAATTGGTCCAGTATGCTAATTTCAGACAATTTATATTCTGTGTAGCTTTTTAGTTTGTAACAAGAGAAAGACAGGCCTTTCTGACAGGCTTTCTCGACTAAATACTATTAAAAAGGGAGTGTAGATAATGCCTTGTTGAAGACTTACTTCAGTTTCAAGTAATTTGTGAAAACTCATGTTTTCACAAATGCGTCTGTGAACTTGCTCTCCTTTTGAACTTGTTAGTGGAAATGGTTATCACCATCTTAATCATGTACTGTGGCAAAATTCAAAAGTTTAATAATGCTTTCTTGTATTCAAAGGCTCTTGCAGATATGCTGAGAGTAAACACAAAATTAAAAAGTTTAAACATAGAATCGAACTTCATCACTGGCGTTGGAATTTTGGCACTGGTTGATGCACTGAAAGACAATGAAACGTTGACAGAGATCAAAATTGATAATCAGGTAAGTGAGGTAGTCATACTATTTATTAAAATCAGTCTGTCTGAGCTGACTGAGTATTTTTAGAGGGCAGCTTGTGATAAGCTTTCCAAATTACTTTTAAATATCTTAACTCCCTGAATGATTGTCCTTAAGATTCTCAGAAACATCCAGTTGAAGCTGGATCACTTCTGTGCTTTTTATACTTTGAAGTGCACAGATGAATTTTATGACCTTCTGCCATTCAGATTAATCAAAGTGAAGCTAAGTGTTTATTGGCTAATGTGATGAAAGTATTCAGATTACCTTTAGGGTGAATACACATAAGCTCTGTTGTCTTTTATACCTTTTATTTTAACAGAGGCAGCAGCTGGGCACAGTTGCAGAAGTAGAAATTGCCAAAATGCTTGAAGAAAACACCAAGATCCTCAAATTTGGATACCATTTCACACAACAGGGACCTCGAGCCAGAGCAGCTGCAGCTATCACGAAAAATAATGATTTGGGTAAGACCTGTCAGTAGAGAGTGACTGCTAAAAGAATGGGAATGTGGCACAGGTTTTGAAGGTGCCTGTTTTTTCTGTTGACATAACCAGGGTAGCAAAATGCAAGTAGATCCATTTCAGATTTCTCCTGTGCTTTACTCCTACTCTTCTGTTGCTGCTTGGTGTTCTTCTATTTTGTTGCAGTGTGTTCAGGTGTATGAGTTGAGGCTTTTTAGCATAGTCTAGAAGAACATTCAAATTCCACAAGCTGGGGCAAAGGGAGGGAAAATGATGGTTTTAATTGGTCAGTTTTATTCAAATAGGATTCATTGTTTCTTTTAAAAGCAGCACTTGAAAGTAATAGTGCAGTAGGCAGGGTGGAGTAACAGAATAGAGCACAGAGAGAGAAGGACACTCGAGACACTGCATAAATGTTTCTCAAAACATTCATTGTAACCCTTCAGATGTCTCCCTACTTTCAAGTTTTCTCTTTTCACTAGTTCTCATCTTAGTGTTGGAAATCTATGTTTCTACTGATATCTTACCTTTTTTCTTTGCTTTCTTAGTCTGGAGTATGCAAGTAAAAGTTCCTGCAAATACCTTTTCATCTCTGCAGCCCTGAAGCTACCAAGACAAGTCACTCTGAATACCCAGTTGGGTATTGAGCACTGAAAACTTAGATGTTCAAAGTCCCTCATATTTCTGTCCTTGTAGGTTTCTACTAAAAAAAAACTCTATTATCTTCTTTCTTCCTTGTTTACACTGTGGCGTACTACTTTCCTTTTCTTTGTCTGCAACTGTATACATGTTGCTTCTACCTGCATGATTGGAGAAGTCTAAGGTTGGAAACTCTTCGGTGAAAGCCGGTATGCGTAACTTCTGCCACTGATGGAAACGATTTGGATTCAAATGGAGATGAGTCTATGGGTTACTCTCAAAGTGAGCCATACATTGACTTTGTAAAGAGTAAAATTCTTGTATGATTTTGTTCTGATTTGTTTCTATAGACTGCATCTAAAGCATTTTTGAGACAGGAAAGTGGAGGGGGAGAAAAATAGCTTTTCCTATTCTACTTTGATCTGAAGATCAGCTCAAATTGCAAATATCTGTAAAATCATATAATTTTCCAATCAGTGGATTTGAGAATAGACTCACTTTTACATATAAGTGCTTTCTTGGCTTTTTAAAACAAATTGAGAGATGCCCTATAATTTTGAGGACCCTCAGCTTCATGTGTTATGTCTGCACAGAAAAAGAAAATACCAATTAAAAATACTGCGAATATTGAGCAAAACTCCAGTCATTCAGTGGATCTTGCCTGTTCTTAAGTCTAAACAGCATGTGAGCTTTCAATGATTTTACTCACAAGCGTTTGTTGCTCGTGCATTTTCTGACAATTGAATATCTTTCCATTAATAAATAAAATGTTTTAGACTATTGAATGGATTTTTTTTTACTTGCAAAGTTGAGAAATCATATTGGACACACTATGAAACTCTTGTACTGTTTCGTTTTAACACCATGTAAACTTAATTCTCCACCACTAGAAAACTGCAACATAAACAAAGAGTATTGGCTAAATCTGCTCACCAAACATAAAATGATTAATGTTTCCCACAAGTCTCCTCTCGGAAATATTTGAAGCTGTTAATGAGTAACCCAATAAGTACTGCTAATGCATAAGCTTGAAGTGATGGATAATACTAGATGTTAATTACCTTAAGTTGTACTATGTGAAACTCTATGCGACAAAGTAACTTTTGATGTTGTAGAAATATGAAAAGTAGTAAAACTTTTTTTCCCTCTCATTACAGTTCGCAAGAGAAGGGTTGAAGGTGACAACTAGAAGATCTTGTTATCAAAACTATGTGGAGATTTCAAGGGTCGTCAAGGCACGCTTTGGCAGTCTTGGACTACATTTACCTGGGTTAGAAGGGAAAAGACTGGAAACCCCATTCCTTAAAAAGCAAAGCTGTATTAATAACCTGCTGGTATGCATCATGTTTTTCAGATTGAGACACAGTAACTGCACCAGTCTCTGTACAATAGTTCTTGATATTTTTTTTAAGAACTTTTTTTGTATTTCAGGACTTCAGCTGTTCTTTCTACTAAAAATATAATTGTGAATCAGTGGTATAATTGTCTTTAGTCAAAGAATGGGACATTCAAGATCACTGTGCAGATAATGACCCAATTGAAATGTGTTAGAAAATCTGGGGGTGCTTATTTACATGGAGGGGTGCATATATTCTTGAAAACAATGCATTAGTGATAAGGGATTCTTCACACAACAGTTGTACTCATTGTGTAGAGCTGTTTAGCCTTGTTCATATGCACTGAAGTATTTCACAGCTATCTTGCATGTAATTGTACTTTATTTTTTATTAGTTCTTGATACTGTGATTAAGGTTAAACACGTCCCTCTAAATCAAAAAAAAAATTGGCTGAGGACTGCTCCCAAGAGATTTGAGTGACTAATAAAAAAGTGGAAGCCTTGCAAAAAAAACACACAGAAAAGTGTTTTTTCCTATTACACCTAGATCTTTAAAGTCTTTTTCAAAAAGTCAAAAAAATATACCCTGCTCTTTATCTAAACTGGATATGTTTTTAGACTGATTTCATGCATTCATCAGCATTACTTTATATTCTTTGTTTAAAAATCTTTGTCTATGTTCATAAGTATCAGTTTCTCTAGAAGTAGTGGACATGCATTTTTCTTTTTTTAAATTCTGCATAATTCTGTACAGGAAAAGCAGCCTTAACTGTAAAACCACTGTTCTAAGTTGCCGGCAAATGGAAAAATCCCTTTATTCAAGCTGTTGCATTAAGCTATTAGTACTTCATATAAAATCTATCTTTTTTTTTAATGAAGCAATCAAGCTTTAAGAAAGGATTTTTCTATTCTAATTCTGTCTTCATGTTGAAACACTATGCAGAAATTAACCAATATGCAGTGCAAATCTGTGTGGCATAGTAATTATTATTTAAAGTTGTATATCTAAGCAAACTAATAGGGCAACAAGAATCGCTTCAACTTCTCGACGTAATCACAGCGGACTTCCTTGAAATCATATGGAAATCTCGAGGCTTTTTTGTGTAGGTCTTCAGACTGCTGTACTAGATTGCTCAATGTCATGAGATCATAAACTCACAAAAATGTTCTGAAGGACTACTAGGCTGTATTTATAGCAACAGAGAATTCAACTGACAATTTTCATCAAAGGATCATAGTAGGGTGAGCATTTTCTGTATAGAAAACGTACTGAACTGAAGTATTTGCATCAGGTTGTATATGCGATAAAAATTTACCAGAGCAACTTTCTCACACTGTGCCCATGTTTTAATTTGCTGCAAATCTTGTTTTGGATCTTTCTAGAGAGGCTTTGTTCTGGAGCTGACTTTGAATTTTACTGCAACTGTACAGAGAACTTTAAACTTATAGTGCCTTCAGTGCAGATGTATATAACTGGTTTATACTTGTGGAAGAACGTGGTTTTTTGCCTATTTCAAAATCAGACATTTATTGCAATTACAACTAAATGTGCACTCCGAAAAGCTAGTTGGAATTCTGTTGAAACCAAAGACTATATACATGTTACAGCTTTGAAACAGCTAGAAGTCATCTGACTAATAACAAAGAGGGCTTCTTTTAGTTTTGACTTTTGCAAATTGTGAAGAACTTTTTATATTTCAAAATCTAAGTTCTTTATGTAGGACATGTAAAGTCACAAGTTAAGTGTCTTTTTACAGACAGTGCTGCATAAACATGGCCAAAGCATGTCATGTGCTGAGTTGCCTAAAGCTGTGCTTGTCTTTTTTCTTGCTAGGCACTGTAATAATTTTGTGTCAAAAACCAGGTTCTGATGTCTTCCTTCATTTGTTGAAGGGCTGCATGTTCATGGAATCAGTTCACGTGTTGTGATTCTATGATGATTTTTTTTTTTTACCACTATCTGACAAGATTAGGCAGTTATCTCCTACTTGAAGATGAAGGAGAAAAATGAAAGGCTGGATTATGGAAATGATAGCCCAAATCCCTTTCTTTATTAAATCAAGTTTAGCTCCTTAATGATTTATATTCCAATCAAAAGTACAGGGCGTTTTAAGATGCAACTCTCAGGTGACAGTAGCGGACCTTAGCTCTGTAGACACCAGAGTTGTAGACACAGTTGCAGACTGCTTGTTGGCGCTGCCAGGGCAAACTTAAAAGATGTCCCTGCTTACTGCAGGGGGGTTAGAGGTTCCTACCTGACAGAGTGATGGGCATAGAAAACCAGGGGCTTTTCAAACAGAAGAATTTGGCTCTCTAGGTTGTTGCAAGACGTTTTTGGTGTGGTGCATGGAACAGTAACAACAATCACTCTTGTGCCCGCAATGTGTATCCTTTTTGGAACAAATGAAGGAATTCAGGCTGTAGGCAGGAATCGTAAGCAGTCTCAACAAGTAAAGCGAGCACTCTGATGCAGTGCTATTGGCTGTAGTGAGATCTTGATTATTTTTGAGTGCAGAAGTGCTGTTACTTTGACAACCAGCTACTGTAAACACAAGATCTTTTCTTCCCAGAGGTGATACTTTTTTGTTCTTGATTATTTCTCAGGCTTACTGCAGAATTCAGATGACCACATACATTGATTCTGTTGATTCCAAGCTAGGCATGGAAGCATGGCCTGTATTCCAAAGCAATTATCTGTTTACTGTTGTGTTTTCTAGAAATAGCCTCATTCTCTCTACAGCTTGAGTAATACTGTTTGTAAGCTACAAACGAGCAAGTGTTCCATTTAAATTTCCATTGAGGAAACATGAATTGAGTGTTTTTGCGTATCAGCACTATATGCTGTCAGATTGTAAACTGTAAAAGGACGATTAAAATATTGTATTCTTGTTGTGGTGTGGGAGCTTTATTTGTTTGGGGGGTTTTAAACAGTACAGTGATGTGCTGAAGGCAATCCCCTGCATTTATGTCAAACCATTACTTTTGCTTTCTCAGTAGCAGAGTGACAAAATGGTCCTTCTGGAAATAAAGAGCTGTTGATGTGGAACTTGATTTTTCACACAGCAGGCACCAGAAAGATGTGTAAGAGCCCTTAACAACGGAGTGGGGGCATCTTGTCACGCCTCTGCAATGCGTACAAGCAAGTGCGGGAGAAGAGGAGCCGTTGGGTTGCTTTGTGCAGGGTTATTTCAGCCCTGCTGGGCAACGGCAATGTTTAAGTTGAAGGAGAATAGATTTAGAC